TAAAGATACGGTACCTGAACCTTCCATTGAAGATAGTGACACAGATATTGAATATTATGATCTGCATGTAGACAGATAAAATAAGCAAAGTGACGTTTTTTTTCTCTTTTTTTTTTGTTACAAATCGTTTATACTTTGTGAAAACTAATTATGCGAGTCATCTTGTTTTTGCAGTAGGTAACCCGACGGGATATATTTATGGTTTTTTTATTTTATTTATTAGAGATTCCCCCTAACTAATTTTAAATGGATAACCTAAAAAAATGATCATCATGCAACATATTGCGGCCTGTGTAATATAGCAAACATACATATGTGGCCCGAATGAAAAAAAGGTTGGGTATAGCTGGTTTAGAGCATAGTGTTTTGATGAGCTCTGTCCATCTAAGTTGGAGATCAACTTGTAGGCCTAGTATTTTAATAGAACTATCACCATTTGTCTGTCCATTATTTCCTACTAGCAGTTGGGATACAGTTTTAGTGGTATTTAAAAATAAATCATTTGCAGAAAACCACCTCTTTGCTTGGGTTATAACATCTAAGTAAATTTGTTTATAAACAGTGTCTTTTAATATTAATACAAAAAGGGTAGTGGTACTAAAATCGATCCCTGAGCAATCCCTCTCTTAGAGGGAAAGTCCACTCACGCGGCCGCATGCGATTTTTAACAGACGACAAGCAGCGACACAGACGTTCAGTACCAAAATGGAGGTGGAAGAAGTAGCAACGGTGTTGTTTTATTCTGTTCGTCAGCGGAAAAAATTGAAACGACGTAGGTACTGGCACAGCTTATACAATACAGCTCCACAACTCCGTGTCGGCGTCTTTGATCTGGCGGTCGAGAACCAAGCAAGACGGAATGGTGCTATCTCTGTTAGATTCGAGGGAAAAGTCGGGCCCGGATTAAACAATTTTTTTATTATTGAAAAAATTGAAAACCTTGGCGTAATAAGGTTGGTTACATGCCATATTAAGTAAATTTTGGGAAATTAAATTTTTAATTTGTTTTAAATCTGTCAAATATAATTAGAAACATTATTTAAATATAAATATTACGAAAAATAGCACATCTTTCGGATTAGAGGTAAAATAATTTGTATGTGGCTAGTAAAATCCTCGTTAACAAATGTTTTGAGCTAAAACAGTCACTTCACGACAAATTATGGCTTGGATCCTTTTTACACCAAGGGCTTCAATTGTTAAAGAATTGTGTCACGCTCGTGGATGCAAATCAAGTGGTACCCCGTGTCTCTGGCAAGTGTTACTCTTCGCGCAAAGGGTTTATACCTAGATAAACGAATGCTTCGACTGAGGTCTGGGAACTCATCTATGGTATTTTGGAATTATAAAGAATTTGTGCTTTTATTTTAACAATATTGGTTATATTTAGATGTATTCTTATTAATTGAAATACAGATTTGTAGAAGTAATACTTTGACAGTTTTTATTAATATAATATATTCAATTTTTATCTGACCATACCGAAGTAGGGAATTTTGAAACTTTATAGTAATGTGAAATTTGAATTACAATATTACACGATATTACATAATTAGTACTTATTTTAGGTAGGTACTAAATTTGTACTTGGAGAAAGTAATATCGATTTTTATAAGAAAACTTGAAAAGTAAATTAATTTAGTTCCTATTTCTGATGTAAAACTTAAGTTTTGGTTTAAACCAAGAAAACAAATAAATTATAGTTTGTTCAACAAGGGTGGATATGATAGCAATATCACACAAAGACGAAGTTTGAGCACGACGTCGTATGCGGAGTACTCAATCGTCTGATTGTGATATGAACAATCCACTCGATATGGTCAGTATATTTTTTCTACGACCCACTAACGAAAATCTACAAATTTAAAAAATTATTTTAGGTTATTTAGACAAAATAACTAATTTTAAAATAATTTACGAAGATGACTAATTTATAAAATAATATTAACATGAAAAATTAATTAGTCCTCGGCCTAGATTCGATCCCGGGCTTTTCGCGTGGAAGGCAGATGCTCTGTCCTCATCTTCACCGAAACTTTCAGGACTTTAGTTTTAATACTCGTAATTAAATTAGTATCATGTAGTTTGATTAAAATTTATTTTTTTTTAAATGTGGACACAAAAACAAAAATGCTATTATTTATCGAGTCTACACAAAAATTTTAATGTATATTTAATATCAATAACTAAAATATATATTGACAATTTGTTTAACAGAATTGTCACTTATTTAAAAAAATTTAAACAATAGGAGTTGGGTGACCAAAATATGAACTGTGATTTGTAGATTTAATTTTGTCAAAGTGTTCTCACTACCTAAAATGGATATGAAATATATTCGTAGTTGAACGCAATAACATACTTTTTCGTTTTGTAGTATGTGCATAGATTGGCTAATATCCATGCACAGATTACAAAACGAAAAAGTATGCTATTGCCTTCAATTGAACGAATATATTTCATATCCATTCTAGGTAGTGAGAACACTGCAAAAAAAATAAATTCGCCAATCACCGTTCATATTTTGATCAACCGACTGCTATTATTTTTAAAATTTTAAATAAATGACAATTCTGTCAAACTAATTGTCAGTATATTTTTTAGTTATTGAGATTAAACATACAATAAAATAAGTTATTCTTTTAGAAAACGTTAGCATGGATGACTAAAGGGTATTGGGTTAATTAATTCTAAAAGTGTGGTACAAATGTTATTTTTTGTAGCCAATTCTTCAAAATTATTTTGAAATATCTTTTCAATATTGAATATTAGTTCTACAAATTCATCATTTGACAGTTGCAGATTTCCAAATGTATCTGGATTGGCGTTATCATATGCCTTTAAAAAGCAATAAAAAGAAAAATCATCTAATTCAACGTGATCTTTGTTATATTTAAGACAGGTATCGCAGAGGAGTGGATCCCCAAGGCTTTTATTAAAAGGTAACCACACACATACCTGATAAAATTTTTCTGTATCAATTCGTCTTTACAATAATTTAGGGTGTTAATAATTTTATCATAAAATAAAATACAAGGTGTTCCATTTAAAAAACATACATTTTAATTTGCCAGGCAAAAACGTGACACCCTGTATATCCAAAGATATTTTTAAAATATGTAGGTATTTTTAAAATCCATATAACTTTTATTTAAAACTTTCTTGCGTGTCTACAACAAAATAATGAACAATAACGCACTAATGGGATACCCTGTATAAATTATATTTTTAACAATGAAAATTTCTTATAATGTGGTACTTATCGGTTTGGGTCCTTGGGAAAACTAAAGAATGTTTTCTTGCAGGTATAACCCTTATTAAAACAGCTTCTGACTGCACAAACAGAATGATGTCTTTTTTTTTCACTCATTTTACTCATAGCTAAAGAGTCACCAAAATAATAACAGTACCTTTAACTCAAACAAAATCAACGAAATTATAGGCTCCACGAAATTATACAATCAACGAAATTATAGGCTCTACGAAATTATACAATCAACGAAATTATACGCACGACTCAACACCTTACCTAAGTACGCTTCTGAACACCAAAACCGTCTTTTCCCTTCGAAGGCGGAGCTTAAGCGATGCGCGACCAAATCGACGCAAACCGTTGCCGCCAAGAGTGTTTTAGCTGTATTGTATAAGCTGGGGTACTGGGTTCATCCATTATTTATGTAAAAGGCGCATTTAATTTATTATATAAGGATTTACGTCAACACGAAGATAACTTCTTCAAATATTGCAGAATGAGAGTAGTGCCATTTGATAAACTGCTAGCGCAGATTCCCGAACAAATAATTTTGTCGCTATTTTATTTCAATTAACTGTTCAATATTTGAGGTCGGTCTTGAATATCGGATATAAATTCATCTATATCAATACAACTGTCGGACATTCTTTCACTGGAACTGTAGAAAAGTTAACAAGAAACTCCAACTCTCAACTGACGTTTCGCACGCGACTTGACGTTTTTATGAGTGATGCTCCATATACATCCATGATAATGCTGGCCGCGTGCGGCAAGAAAATCGCGGGCTTGTCATTTCTAATTTACAGCCGCGTGCAACTACGCGACAGAACAGCGTTACTGGGCTTTGAGTCATTTAAAAACATCTAAAGTATTGCCGCACGCGATGCCTTGCGATCAGTCGCCCGCGACGTGTCGCATGAGTGGGCTTTCCCTGTTAATGTTTGATATCTGTTTGATAAACATGACGTACTCTATACTTTTATAATTTTGATAATAAAATCTGATGATCGACACAGTCAAAGGCTGAACTTAGATCAATAAATATGCCTAAACAGTATTCAGCTTTTTCAAAAGTCTGATATACTTTACTAGAAATAAAATGGCGTCTGTTGTAGATTGTCTCCTTCTAAAAACATATTGGAAAAGGGTGAGTATATTGCAAGATTGTAAGTATTAAATTAGATTGTTATGTACTACTTTTTCCAAGATTGTTGAAAATATAGAAAATATAGCAATTTATCTAAAGTTGCTAGGCAAAGATGGGTTTCCTTTTTTACTTTCCTATCTGTATACAGATAAGGAAAGTATAGGAATCATGATTTTTTTCGACCTCCAGTTTTCGACGGATTTTTACGTTTTGAGGTCCCCTGAATCGGTTTTGACTATTTTCGCGATGATGTCTGTGTGTGTGTCGCATAACTCATGAACCGATACACAGAAAAACACCAAATTTTAAACTTAAGCTTTGTTCCAGCGTCCAATGAGCTGATTAGATTTTGGGCAGAAGCGGAACATCTGGGGGGGTACTTTATAGGTGGTAATTTTTATATTTTATGGAATATATCTGTTATTTACGTTTGGGGAAGAAAATTCTTTAAATAAAAGTTACTTCTTATATTATTATCTATAATTTTTGTTCTATACAAAATTTTCCTAAAATGGTCCGTATTCGAGAAATTTGACAAAATGTAAAAAAATATTTTTTTATAAAAATTGTTCAAACAAAAGTTGTTTGTAATATAATTCTCTATAATGTTTGTCCTATACATAATTTCTAATTTGAGAAAATGTGTAAATTTCGAAATTTGAAGAAAACTCAAAAACGGATAAAGAAAAAAACACTAAATTTTAAACTTAAGTTTTATTTCGGCCTGACGTGAAATAATTAGATTTTGGACAAAGTCGGAACACCTGGGGGGTACTTTATGGGAGGCCGTTTTTATATTTTATGGAATATATCTGTTATTTATATTCGGAGAAGAAAATTGTTCAAATAAAAGTTACTTCTAATATTATTATCCATAATTTTTGTTTTATGTAAAAATTTCCTGAAATGGTCCGTATTCGAGAAATTTGACAAAATGTGCAAAATTCTGATTTTTATGAAAATTTTTGAAATAAAAGTTGTTTGCGATATCGATCTCTATAATTTTTGTTCATACATGATTTTTCTAAAATGGACCGTAATGAAAAAATTGTAGGAAATTTAAATTTTTCAGTATTTTCGTTTTCAATGAATAGAAAAATGTTTCAAGGTAGATGTATGTGGACAATGTATATATTTAGTTTATCCTCTAAACATTTATAGAGTTGCTGCAATAGGTTGTACAAAATAACCTGAAAAAGCCTATAACTAGATAGGAAAGTCATGTGTTGGACACATCAGATTTTTTAAATAATGGACAGACTACCTCTTTTCATATTAACAGGGAATACATCTTCAGATAAACAACAGTTTATTTGTAGTTAAAGGCTACGATAGAAGTGAAAAGCATTTTTTCAATATGAATACACTGAAACCATTAATATCTTCAGTTTTGTTTTTCGTTTTTTTAGACCTTTTATAATTGTTTCAATATCCAATTGGCTGATTGATTTATATGTAAGAAAATCCCCACTCACCATCATCGCAATATCAACCCACAGCAATTTTTATTCTAGATGTCCTACCAAGAGAAATTAAATTATTGCTAATACAGTACCCATCAAATCCTACAATGAACTTCACATGGTTTGGTCTGGGATCTGAAACACAGTGTTTTTACACTCCTAAACGACCCAGTAAATGAACCAGCCACTCAACATATTGGGCTACTGAACTGTCAAAGGACTTTAAAGAAATACAGTCATGTCAATTCCATTTTGAGATAGCTACATTGTTGTCAATAGATTCTGAAAGTGTGATACTATATCAAAAACCAGTTAGTACTTATAGTCATATAATTTTCTACCACTAAAAAAGTATAAGCTTAAGGTATTTTAGTAAATGCCCTTCTACTTAAGACCCAACTCAATTTTTTTCTTAGGTTAGAAAACGATTTTGCATTCGAAGTAATACAAGAAGTCACTTTAAATTTATATCTCTTAATGTTAACAAATACTTAACATGATGAGTTTAATAAAACATATTGCTCAAATTAGCATGGTTGCAAATTGGCGCTACCTCATCGACAGTACATTTTTAAATCTTAACACAAGTTTCCTGAAATAATTAGGTCAAAAATTAAAGTGTATTTTGCATTTTAGCTTTTAAATACTATAAAAAATGGTGGAAGTCCATAACTTTTAAATATCACTTTAAATAACAAACTATAGACTTTCCACAATTCTTTACCATACTCTAAACTCATTTTTAAAAACAATTTATGAAAATATTATCCTTCAGAGCTATATTTTTTGTGATATAAAAGTCGCATTCACTTATCATTGACAACATGTTGTAGTACAAATTTTACCTTTAAGGTGCAGATATACAATTACCAATTCAAAACCAAAGTTTTCAGAAACATTCTTCATTGTAAAAAGATATTTAAGACATATTTATATGCTGTTTCAAAGCAATATCGTCCTCGTACACAGTATTTTGTATAGCCTGTAATTCATCGAAAGTTATAATGTGTCGTTTCTCATGGCCCTTTAAATGATCTATCCTTCGAAATTTCTTCTTACAAATCTTGCACTCGTAAGCCAACCCAGTTGTATGTACCAACAAATGCTTGATGAATAGGGACTTGTAATTTTTGGTTTTAATTGGCTTTTCACAAATAGGACAGAAATCCCTGTCTGGCCAATCAAAATATTTTTGAATTTCATCTGGAGATATGATTTTCCTTGGACCAGAATGTTCCTTTCGTTTGTGTCTAATTAAATCAATGGCATTTTCTGCTACAAAAGGGCACAATTTACACTGATGTTCTTTTATTTGGGGAGTTTCATCTGTTGTATCTTCATCATAATCATAAATTGATAGGTCATATTTTGGAATTTCTTGTGGAATAATTTGTACATCATCATCATCATCAGCCTCTTTTTCTTCTGCTGTAGAATCTTGAATAACAGTTGTAGCAGACTTAACCATTATATTTTGACTAATGTTAATCCTATGCAATCCTTTTGTTGAAGGGAGATGTTTCTTTTCAGTGCTACTGCCACTTATATTCAGCATTTCAGACTTGTTTATACTTTTCTCAGAATCATCATCACTGCCATTTGAAATGTCCCCGTTTTCACAACTTCTACAATCGTTACTAGTATTTAAAACCAATGATTCAATATTATTTGCTTTAGATTTGGAATTAATGTTATTTTGTGCTACTGGGTTACTTCTGCTGGAACATTTCTCAATATGAGTCTTGCATGTTGCTTCTCTAGGGAAGATTTTGGTGCAATACTGGCATGGATAGAAAGTTTTGCCATTTGGAGTCACGAGTGACTCTTTAACTTCAATGTCACCCCTTGTATCGTGTTTTAGTGCTACAGGAGGGTGGTTTATTTCATTATTATTTACATTTAAAAATGTGTTTTTATGTTTGAATATATTATTAGAAGTTTTCTTTAGTTTCTTGGATTTTGCCATTCTTCTTTTCCGTGCCATTTATTAGTACTGTTTCTTATATAAATATATAAAATATAAAACTGAATGATAAATTGAAAATAAAATTAAAAAAAAAACTAAATTGTAACATAACCACAATATAACTGTCACTGTCACTACTGTCAACAAGTATTACCAGTATTGCCAGAATGCCAGAATATAATTTTGTTATGTACCAGATTTGTCTAAAAAATGTACCAGATTCCATAAAAATGTATCATATTCTATAAATTGTACCAGATTTTTCGAATTGTGATGGTTTGGTTAATTGAAAAGCAAAAAAGCCTTTATAGAGAATAGAGATGAGCAAATTTTTTAAAACATCGATGTTGACATCAAATGATACATCGAATACAGACTTTCGATATTGTAAAAAAAATCGGAAAAGAAAATATCGATTTTTGTAAATCTCGATGTTTGTTTTTCCAATGACATATATAGTTTATATAGACTGCTTATCCATATATAAACAAGACAACGAAAAGCGGGTCATATCACAAAGCACATAGAGGTTCCACGTGAATGACCAAGGTCAAAACCGACAACTGACATTTTTTATGCTATTTGCTCCAAACTCTAGATGGGGCTACTGGTAAAATTCTGATTTCTTACTCCATTTTTAAGCTTTATGGGAGAAAAACTTAACCAAAGACTCCAAAGATGTGACGTGTATTTATTTATGTTTTTGGTTAATCTCATTTTTCCGTCTGATTTTAGTGATTTTTTGTTGGCTTTGGCTTTTGGTTTCTGTTTATAGTTTCGTCTTAGTTATTTGCAAAATTGTGATGTTTTGCTTTTCTATTTGCTACTGTGTTTTGCAATAATTTTGGTGCTACCTGTGGGTGCTACGTTGAAAACTTCGAGAAAAACTTATTGATTCACCATGCATCTGCATCATAAAAAGACAAACGGGTATAACAACTAATTGATAATCAATTTATCACTGGACTAGATTCCGAAA